GGAAGAAGGGGAGTAGAGGAAGGTGACTTAGAGTTGGGAGACGGAGGGGAGGGAGGGAGGGAGGGAACTAATGAAGGTGAGGGGAGAAAGGGGATGGTTGGAAAATGGGGAGGGAGGAAGGGGAAATAGAAGACTTGGGATAAAGGAAGGGGTGGACTTGGGGAGGAAAGTGGGAGAAGAGGGGAGGGGACTAATGGAGAGAGGTGAGAATGGGAGGAAAGTGACAAATGGGGTGGGAAGAAGGGAGCTTAGGGGATGAGGGAGAGAAGGGGAGGGGACTTAGCAAGGGAGGTAGGGATGGGAGGAAGGTGACGGGATGGGACTAATGGAGGGAACAGGGTAGGAAGAGGACTTAGGAGAGGGGAGGGAGAAGAGGAAGGGAGGAAGGGGAGGGACTTAGGGAAGAACGGGAGGAGAAGAAAGTGACGGAGCGGGTGAAGACGGGGACTTAGGGGATGTAGGGAGGGGAGGAAGGGAGGAGAAGAAGGGACAGGACAGATAAGGGAGGGATGGGAGGGAAGGTAGAGGGAGGAATGTGACTGGGGAGGCGGTGACGGGAGGAGACTAATGGAGTCGGGGAGAGGAATGGTACTTAGGGGAAGGATGTGGGGAAGAATGGGAGGGCAGGGAGTAGAGGTCGGGTGGGAGGGGACTTAGGGATGGTAGGAGCGGAAGGGAGAGGACATAGATAAGGGAGGAAAGGGACTTAGGGGAGGAAGAGAGGACAGGGAGAGGGGACTAACGAAGGGGACTTAGAGAAGAATGGGAGGTGACAGGAAGTGCAGTGAGGGGAGGACAAGGGGACTTGGGGAGGGAAAGGAAGAAGGGAGGACAATATGAGTAGGGTATTAATGGAGGGGAGAGGAGGAGAGCGAGGGGAGGGAGGCGACTTAGGGAAGAATGGGAGTAGAGGAAGGGGACGGGGAAGGAGGGTGAAGAGAGGGTTCAGGGAGAGGATGAAGGAAGGGGAGGGGAGGAGACTTAAGGAGGTTAAGGATGGTGAAGAGAAAGGGAAGGGACAGATGGGGGGGAAGGAAGTGGCGAGGGCTAATGGAGAGGAGGTAGGGGGAAGAGGGAAGGGTGGGGATTTAGGGATGGAGGGAAGAATGGGAGGGGACAGAGATGAGAAGAGAACTTAGGATGGGGAGGAGAGAGGACCAGGGAGAGGAGGAAGAGGGCTATGGAGGGGAGGAGAAGAATCGGGGCACTAAGGGGAGGGGAGGTAGGGAGGAAGGGGAGGCGACTAATGGAGGGGTGTTAGGGAGGGGCATATGAGTAGGGTATTAATGGAGGGGAGAGGAGGAGACTTCGGGGATGAAGGGAGGAGCGGAAGAAGAAGAGAGGAAGATTCCGGAATGAAGGGGACGGAAGGAGGAGAGCAACGGTGGGAGGGGACAGAGATGAGAAGAGAACTTAGGATGGGGAGGAGAGAGGACCAGGGAGAGGAGGAAGAGGGCTATGGAGGGGAGGAGAAGAATCGGGGCACTAAGGGGAGGGGAGGTAGGGAGGAAGGGGAGGCGACTAATGTAGGGGTGTTAGGGAGGGGCAGGGGAGAGGATGGGGAGGAAGATGACGGGAGGGAGAAGAGGACGAGGAGGAGACTATCAGAGGGGAAGTAGGGAGGAAAAGGGGACTTAGGGATGGTAGGGGAGGAAGAGGCAACTAATGGAGGGGTGTTGGGGAGCGGGGAGGGAGGGGGAATGGGACTAACGAAGGGGACTAGGGAAGAATGGGAGGGGAGGAAGGCAGGAGAGGGACGGGAGTTACACAGATAAGTTAGGGTGGTGGGGAGGGGAAGGGGACTTAGGGAGGGGAAGGAGGGTGAAGAGAATTTGGGGAGAGGAGGAAGGAAGGGGAGGGATTAGGGAGAGGGGTGGGTAAGGAGGAGAGGAAGTGGAGGGGACTTGGGAAGATGGGGAGGAAGGTAGAGGGGAAGGAAGGGGACTTAGGGGAGGGGAGGAGGTCAACTAATGGAGGGGTGTTGGGGAGCGGGGAGGGAGAGAAGACAGGAAGGCAGGAGAGGGAGGGGAGTGTACACAGATAAGTTAGGGTGGTGGGGAGGGGAAGGAGGGTGAAGAGAATTGGGAGAGGGAGGAAGTGGAGGGGACTTGGGAAGATGGGGAGGAGGTGAAGAGAGGATGGGGATGGGACGGAGGGAGGGAGGTGAGAATGGGAGGAGAGGAAAGTGACTTTAGGGGTGGGAGGGAAAAGAGGAAGGGAGGAGAGGGTGGGGAGGGGAGGAAAAGGACTTAGGAAGTGAGGATGGAAGGGACTTGGGGAGGGAGGGGACGTAGATAAGGGAGGAAGGGGACAGGGAGAGGATGAAGGAAGGGGAGAGACCAAGGGGAGGAAGGGTGTGAGGGAGATGAGGGGACCAGGGAGGGGAGGCAGGGAGGAAAGGCAAGTGGATGCAGGGAAGATGGGAGGAGAGCAGGGATGGGGAGGGATGGAGCGGAGACGGAAAGGGACTCGGGGAAGGTCGGGGGTGCCGGGAGGAGAGGAGAGGTAGGGGAATCAGTGGACGGGTGGCACGAGGACAGGGAGGCCGGGCAGGGGCACAGCCCGGTAGGACAGTGTGATGGGGACAGGCCGGACCACTCACCACTGGGATTCCATCGGTGGTCGGAGGCTCCTCAGCTTCCTCTCGTCCAGTCCTTTCCAGTATTTGAAGTTGTTGTCGAGATGCTGCAGCAACTCCGGCAGGTCCACGAAGGCTGCAAGAAGAGGCGGCTGTGTGAGCCCCTCAACCTGTGCTTAGGGGTTCGCATTGGGCTGTCGAGGAAGAGGGGGACCTGAGCGGGCAGCTCCACAGCTGGCACGGTCCCAGATCCTGAAGGCCAGCCCTGTCCTCCAGGTACACAGGTTAAGCTGACAAGTCTCACAGATGAAAGCGGCCGTTCATCTGCTCAGTGAACACGCAGGCCTGTGGTGTGAGCCCCGCCTACAGCTAAGCAACCAGGGGCTCTAACCTGGGGCCCCCTCGCAGAGGCCGCCTGACCGCCTCTTTGCCCCTTCGCTCATGTGGAAGGGGAGGGCAGAGCCGTGGGCACCCGGCACGGAGGCCAGCCCTCTGTCACGCCCGCTCCAGCGTGGGGCCGGGAGCAGATGGCGAAGGCCCCCTGGAGGAAGACCGTGGGGCGCGGAGTCAGCATTAGTGGTTTTGAGTCCCATGTTCTCTACTACTAGCAGTGCGCCCCAAGTTCACGTCCCTCCTCTATGAAGCTGGTGTCACCCCGTCCACCCTGGGGGGAGGGGCGGTTCAGGACGATGTGGACAGACCCAGCCTGCGGGGTAGTGGGGGGCTCGGCAACGGCTCATTCTCATCCTCAGTGCGGTGCGTCTGGAAAGTCTCAGCCCCCAAGCATACGGCATTTGCTACTTACTGTGTCGTGCCCGTTATTTAAGAAACGTGTCCCAAGCGTTCTTACCGTCCCAAGCATCGAACATGCCTGTGATGAAGTAGTCAATGAACGAGATCTGAGACTTGGGAATGCTGCAGGTGTTTCTGTCAAACACAGGCATCACCACAGGTAAGTCCTGCCGCTTCTCTTCATCGGTCTGCAACAGAGAACACCCGACTGTCACGCCTGCGCCTCTCCCCCCATGAGAGCCGAGGGGAGGCCGAGCAGAACGACAACGGACCCGCGCCAGACCCTGTCATTCCCAGAGTGGGGACGGCTCTGCACCAGGAGGGCCTGAGCTCACCCACCCCACCCCTTTCCAACACCTGGGAGCCGCCTGCTGAAGCTCCTCAGGTAACACTGGGAATGGTGCCCGTGGGACAGGAACCTGCTCCTGTCACACCCAGCCCCCCTCCCGACCAGCAGGGGATCCAGGGCCCGAGGCCAGGCCTGCGGTGGGGAGTCACAGGAGGGTCCGGTGGCTGCTGCTCATCTCAGGCCACGTTATCTCATTTGCAAAGGCTTTGAACGCCCTTGAGATCCCTGAGTTAAAAAATTCTGGGACGAAGATTTTACGTTAAAAAAGCACTGAGAAGAAAAGCATTTGTGCACAGTCACGGGCCACCTGACGACGGGGCTCCGTTCTGAGAAACGTGCCGGGAAACGACTGGTGGCTGTGCCGACGTCGCAGGCACCCTGCAATCCTAGGTGGCACAGCCCCCGCACGCCTGGCCGCACGGGGTGGCCCTTGCTCCCAGGCCGCCAGCCACTACAGCAAGTGACTCCGAGTACTGTAGGCAATTGTGACACAATGGTACTTGCACATCTACACACGTCTAAACATAGAAAAAGTACAACAAAAGCACAGCGTGAAAGGTAAACGCTGGTCCCCCTGAGCAGGGCGCTTACCGTGAGTGGAGCCGGCAGGACTGGAAGTCGCCCTGGCGAGTCGGTGAGTGAGGGGCAGTGGCCGTGAAGGCCAAGGACGTGGCTGTGCACGACTGCAGACTTTACGGACACTGTCCCACAGCCCTCCCCTTCCGACAGGGCCAGAAACAGACGCGGAGGCTGCCAGTGCTGCTCCACGGACAGGGAGGTGGGGGGGAGAGTGGCTGGGCGAGGCGTGGGTCACCGTGGTGGCGACTGCCAGGAGGGCGTGAAGTGAGGCCTGAGAAGCAGGCTCAGCAGTAAAAGCGGAGAGATGAAGGCGGGCGGCGGGGGCGGGGCGCTGTCATGGCGCTGGGGAGCAGCGGTCAGATTTGGGGGGGAGCTGCTGGTGTTGAGAGGAGTGTGTGAACGTGGAGACGGGAAAGACCTGAGGACTCTGTACTCTGACCTTGGACATTTGGTTTGGTTCCGTCGACCCTGTTCCGGCGCACAGGGCTCACACAGGGCTCTCTCCTGCACGGAGCTGATGGGAGAAACGAAACTAACTACGCTTGACGTCGTCACGACCGAAAACATTTCCGAAAACAAGGTGGGGGGCGGCTGGCGCCGCGCCACCTCAAAAAGCTTTCCCTGCAGAGGCAGTGGCACTTGGTGCTCGTTACGGTAGCCCTGATGACCTGTGTCCTGGCACAGGGTGCGCCGTGAGCGGGGATCGACGGCCAAGCCCCACGGACACTGCTCCCAGCGGAGACAAGAAAGCGAGGCTCCCAAGAGGGCGCGTCTCACCTGGGAGAAGTACTCCTCCGAGATGCGGGCGGCCCACTCGATGCTCTGCTCCAGCGGTCGGCAGGGGTTGGACACGTCCGCGCACTTGATCAGCATGCGCTTGATCAGGGTCCGGTTCTCCGGCGTCCTGAGCACGGTGTTTATGGCTGCTTGCTCTTCATCTGTTTCCTAAAGCATGCGTGGGATTCAAGCAATCGCAAGGGGTCTCCTGGTGCCCGGCCCTGCGTGGTCCCACTGCCAACACCATGAGGCGCTGTCCAAGATCTACCCAGCAGGGGCTCCCAGAACAATGCTGAGGAGACTCCGAGCATCGAGCTTGGCCCCTCGCTTGACAAAGGGGCAAAGCAAGGCGGGCGACATCGCAGAAGCACCCAGCAGGAGAGGGCAGCCGCGGAGGCTGAGGTGTCTGCCCCTCCCTCCTTCGTGGCTCGCTCTTCTCTCTCTCAACCTTTCTCACAGTTGCCTCTTTCTGTTCTTTCTCTGTCATTCTCCCTTGGTAAGAACTCAAAGACCGACTTGAACTTTTACTTACTCGAAAGGAGTGTGAACTGAAAAAGTAAAAGATTTACCTGCTCTCTCAACAAAGAGTCGTGTGGTCCACCTGGCTCCCGCCTGTCATTTCTCAATCTCCAACTCGGCCCTGTGGCATGTGTGACTGGGGGGTAGCTGTCAGTGTCCCAAGACTGTCATACAGTGACACCTCCATAACACTGCCTGACATTGTGGTGTACAAAGAACTTAACTTTCTCTGGACCTGCACTCACAAAAAGGCCTGCGGTAGGCCTGAAGAGCGATACTGCGTGCTGTGACGTTTACCAAATGAGGACACTGGGACTCGGAGAGGCGAAGAGACTTGTCAAAGCCACCCAGCTGAGCCGGGGTAAGGACCTAAGTTCTACCTTCGGTCCTGGGCTCCGTCCACTCGCAGTAAGTACGCATGCATCTCGTTCACAAGGACACAGTCACCACCCACGGGGGAATGGACCCTCCGAAGCAAAATCGGGGTAGAAGACGGGGTGCCGGGCAGAGAGCACCATCAAGGAGGATAAGGCACCCTCATTCACGGGACCTTTCCAAACGGGCCGGTCCCGTGATTTCCAGGAGAGAGCACAGTGGTCTAAGAAGGCCTTGGTGGTCCCGTCAAGTGGGCAGAGCTGCCATCAAGACAGCCAGGTGGCATCCTGAGCCAAGGCCACCTCATGTCTTGGGGAGCGCCAGAAGGGACACCACCGAGGAGGCCCGAGCTCTCCCGGCTCCAGCTTCCCCCCTCTCTCTCCAGACTAATGCTTTCAGTGAGAAGGGTGACGAGCTGGAAGGCCGGGGAGAGACGAAGCCTGTGGCCAAACGAGCTGCAGAACGGAATTATGACCTTGGCTCGACAGCTCCCAAAAGCAAGTCGTTCCTATGTGTGCCAGGGGCTCTCGGTGCCAGGAGCCGGGGAGCAGGGCGGGGGAAGGGCTGTGAGTTGGTGGCAGGGTGCTCAGTGCTCGTGGAGTAGGTGGGGGGCGGGCAGACAGCTGAGCCTGAGGAAGAGGCTCCAGGGAGGCCCGTTCTCCAGTGCTGAGCCGACGGGGAATCTACGACGACAGCTGCCCGCCTCACGGGCCCTGTGCCTTGACGTTTACGGTGCCCACTGCACCGGCGAGGCAGCGGAGCGGCAGAACTAGCGGGTGCTCAGGCCTGGCTGCTTCCTGGCTGCCCCTGCCCAGCGCCTCAAGTCCCGAAATGGGGGCGACGGTGTCACCCTTCCGTGACACAGCCAACAGAGGATAGTTGCTGCCACCACGGAATGCACACAGTGTGGAGCAGCTGGTGACGGACCCAAGGGCTCCAACCGTGCCCACAATGCCCAAGAAGGGGGCAATGGCTCCCCCTTCTACACTTATCTGAAACTTGAGCCTCCCTTCAGTTTTTTTCTCCTTCCAAGTTCTGGTACTTTCAAGAATTTAAGCGACAGAATCAAATTCAGTGAGCCCACAGCACGTGGGGACGAAGCCCAGACAGACCCTCACCTCTTTTACTTCCAGTGCTGCCAAGGGCTTGTTGACGCTGTTGACAAACTTGTTGACGTGCTCGAAATGCTTTGTCATCTCTGTGGCCAAGACCATGTCAATGATAGCCTGGCGCAGCGTCCGGTAGTCATTCCTGTTTCAGGCGACAAATGAGAGGCTGCTACAGATCACGGGTCCAGACTCGACCGATAGAGACTTGTAAAAACTATCTGTGATCCGGGATACATGTCCACTGTGGCTAAAGTTCTAACGTCACTGGAAGTCAGCTGCAGGGCACACTTTAAGAGATCGTAAAAGTGATACTTAGTGCCTTGATCGTCATCAAGGTGAACCCCAAGAGAAGTTAAAATCGGAAGCTTAAGGGCAAGACCTTGTAGATGCGACGTCCGTGTGTTGTCACCCGTGGTGTGAGGCCCACGGTTCTTGGACTAAAACAAGACAGGAAGTAGTTGGGTGAGCAATGTCGCTCTCTCAGCGAAGACGGGATGGAGACCTATGGTTATGGAGAGTGTACCCCACAGAGACCCAACACCTTTAGTGCCCAAAACTTAGAGGGCAGACCCTCTGACAGGTGAGACAGTCACACGCAGTGCGTGACACCTCTTCCTCCAGCCCTTGTTTTCATTTGTTTTTAAAAAATTTTTTTGAGGTACAGAGAATACAAAATAAAATCTCTATTCTGCCCCTTTTCTCCATTCACTCCGTTCCTTTCCCTGGGGCAGAGATAACAAGTAGCTACAAACAAAACCTACTGATCTCCACGTCTGAAATTCTACAACGTGGCACAGGGAGCTTAGTAAAATCAGGAGTCTCCTTTTTTTAAAAAAATCCCACATGAAACTTTCCTTAAAAATCCAAATTAATAAGTCCTCCTCATGACCGAACACTTTTTCCTACGTTCATGTGACAGTAAGTCCCTATCACACATCAGGTGCCACACTAGATGCTTAGGGGACAGTGATGAACGAAACTCATATGGCACCGTGATCTTACAGAGCTTAAGAATCAAATCAGACATCAGACCAATAATGAAAACGTGACAAGTGCTACAAAGGCACTGGGACTGAATGAGCAGCGTGAAGGGTCGGGGAAGGCTCCTCGGGGAAATGACATGGGAACAGAGACAACGAGGAAAATGCTGGGCCCACGAGGGCAGAGCGGAGCGTTCCACGCAGAGATTACGACGACAGCTCCCCTGTCTCCAAGAGCTCAGCATGTCCGCGTTACTTCCTCGTCTTGAAATGTCGAGACACAAAGGAGCTGACCCTTGAAATCGTGCTAAGTGAAAGCAGCCAGTCGCAAAGAGCACATACTGGGCACGCTTCCGTTTACACGAAATGTCCAGAGCCGGCAGATCTCTGGACACGGAAAGTGGCTCAGTGGTTGAGTGGGGAGTGTGGCGTGACTGCTAACGGGGTTGAGGATTTTGGAGGTGATGAAAATGCCCTCAAACTGTCGTGGCACTTGCACTGCTCCGAACGAGCTAACGATCACCGTATGCTTCAAACGGGTGAACTGCATGCTGTGTGAATTTATCTCAGTACAGTTGTTTAAAGGAGACGGGCGGACCAACGTGCTTCCCTACCCACGCCTCTTACCTCTCCATGTTCTTGAAGATATTGCATTTGTCATCTCTGATGGTCAGCTGGAAGGCCAGGGCCGCATGGTGGCTCTCCAGCACAGCAGTGTCATTGTACAGAATGGCCAGCTCGCTTCCAGCGTTACACAGGAAGGAGTTGGTTCTCCCGGGGTGGTCCACGTCATGAATGGTGGCTGCAATGAGGGCAGCGGCCTCATCGACGGGATCTAGAGTTTGCTGAGAACAAGAGATCTTGTGAAAACTGAGGCACTGCACGAAGCCTTCTGTAGGGTCTTCTTCCCACCCTATGACTTTGAGGTAAGAACACTTGGGATTTCTGACAAGAGAACATTGTCGAGCAAATCCGGGGTCCCTGTCTGCTGAGAAAGAGGCATCTTTGCACATGCTGTCCGGACACAACGGATTCTTGGTCTCACGCTTGTTAAGGACTTCCCGTCAACAGAGAGGAGTAAGTGGGAGAAGTGGAGGAGATGACTTACATCTCCATGCCATTACAATCGTTTTAAGTTGGCTTCGTGAATACATATATGTATGTGTCCTCTATAGAGTAGTTCAAAAAAAAACAATAAATTACAACAAAAACTGGCTGTCTTTATATGTTGGTCCATATTGACACTGATGTCCCTCTGCTGCCATTATTTTTGTACTTTATAAAACAGTTCTCTCTCTGGGCTCTTATTCTGCCTAGGTCTTGGTCATGATCTTTCTTTAAAAACAAAACAAAACAAAAACCTCAGAGCGAGGAGGGGGCAGCTGAAGACCCAGCTCCGGGAAGGTGTCCCTTCAGGGTGAGAACCAGCTTCCGCTCAGCACGGCCAGGTGCCAGGCATGACGTCGCCCTTCTCTGACTTTGAGAGGACAGGCGGGGCCCCTAAAGTGGCAACAGCCGATCCTTAGCTGGCTGCACTTGTCTGTGGGTTCGGAGACCCCAGGGAACAGCCGACTCCTGCCCTTGCTGGCTTTCTCCCTGGGGACCAGCTCCCCGTCACGCTCCCAAGGAATAGCTGAGTCACATCCTGAGTTAACAGTGTGTGGCCTCCTGCCTGACTTCTCACACGGCCACAGCCTTCCTGAGCCAGGCTGCGCCGTGAGGGACACTCCTGAGCAGTCGTACTGCATGGCGACTTGGGGACAGAGGCAGCAGAAACCCAGCTCACCTTTATCCTCTCTCTGCAGAGGAAGTAGGCGGTGGCGTGAAGCACGTCGGCAGAATGCGTGGAGTTGTGGTACGGGTTAGAGGAATGGTAATTGGCTTCGATGAGCTGGAACCACGTTCTCAGTGTTGCCTCGGAGCAGTTTAAGAGTTCACAGATTCCAAAGCGAGCAAAGATTTTGAGACCAAGATAAATTAAAGGCCTATAGAAAAAATATTCATAGCGTTCAAGTAAAGCGAAGAAACAGGCCACGTGGCGAGAGCCCTGTCAGATCCGACGAGCACACCTGAGCCAGACTTCGGAGAGCGCGAGGGCAGCAAAGCGGCGCCTGCCTCTCTGTCGCCCCTTCTCCCGGGAGCCAGCGCCAAGCTGGCTACAGCCAACTCCCAGTTCTGGCCTCAGAGCTCTGTCCGGTGCTCCCGCTGGCCGGGCGGGCTTTGCTCACCCTGCCCCTCCTGATTCAGACTCCTCCTTGCACCAGTGGATTCCTCCAAATCAGCGTGTTTGCTGCCCGGCTAAACTTGTGCCACATTGAACCCTATCTTCTCCTTCGGACCTGCTGGACCTAAGCCGCTGGCCAGTGTCCTGCCTGAGGACAATAATGGTTTCTGATGACCGCACGTGAGCCAGACACTAGGGTATGCCATGGGATGGTCTCGACAATCCGGAGGTGGGTGTCGAGTCTGAGGAGGTTCCCCCTTAGAAGGGAGCCAGCTGCCACCAGGTCGGGCCCTTCCTTGAGAAGCACCCTTGATCTAGTGCTTGGCCTTTGGCTCGGAAGGTCGAGAAATGTGGCTCTGCTGAGGCAGTGTCCAGAGATGATCAGGCTAATGGGACTCGGACTGACCTGCCTTGGCCCGGTTCACGTGAATGCCATGTCACTAGTATGTAAACCAGATGCCCAGAGATGCATCTGCCGTGGGGTGCTCCCCACGTCTGTGCCCGTGTCGCGTGCATGGAGCAGAATGTAGCAGAAGGCTGACTCGCAGTGAGCAGGAGGAAAGGGCAGGGCTACCTTGGGGTCGCCCAACTGGGATGAGACCTGACGGTGATCCCAAGAAAGTACACCTCTCCTGCGACTGTCAGGGGTAGGGCCTCGCCATCCTGAAGGCTGGCCTGGCGGGCATCGGCTGTGACATTTCACTCCTGTGTGCCAAGTCAGCCACACCTCTTTGGTTAACAGTTCTTTTCCAGCAAAGTGCAAAACTAAAGGTACGGACCCCATTCTCCCCCACTCTGTGGTCACACCCCGTCCGGGACGACTGGGTGTGGAGTTCTGGGTCTCCCCATGCCTGTCACCGACACAGCAACCGAGATCTGGGGACAGCTCTTCTCAAATGTCTCTGTTCTCTCTGTATTTCTAATTTTGAGTTCTAGACTCTGGGCAGGGCTCTTTGCTGTGTCTTAACTTATCACCACCTACAGAAGAAATCAACATCCCTATTTTACAGGGAAAAAAACAACCCTGCGACTTAGAGCAGTAAGTCCCTTGCTCAATTTCACACTTCCCATGAGTCTGCTGTCTCGTCAGGAGTCGTGCCCAGGCAAACTCTGCCCCCGGCTTCTCGCCCGACCCCTTGTCGAGGCCCAGGCCCCGGTGACTCAGGGGCACCTGCTGCCCTCCTGCTCCTTCCTGGGCCTCCTCCCCTGGGAACCGAGGACTGGCTCTGTGCGGAAGCTACACTCCTCCGGTGGCTTCTCCACACAGGCCCTTGGCATCGAGCTCTCTGTCTGCCGAGCTCCAAGCGAACTCACCTTTTCTGAGTGGCGGCCTCCAGTTCAAAAATATCAAAGTCCCAGTAGTGCTCGTTTTCTATGGCCTGAGCTATCCGCGGTGGGATGTCGTGAAGGGAGATGGGAGTGACTATATTGCTCGCAATCTGCTGAAAGTCTGCAAAGTGATGAAATTTGGAGAACAAAATTAGCAGGTTTTACGGCATTAGCTGAGGGAGAACAGTGCTTTGTTTCTGAGGTTTTATGACACACCAAGAAACTGCGTACTGATGAGAAAAACTATCTGACAACTTTTATCCGAAAAATTTATTTTCATCACTTCAGCCTGACCAATAATGATCCACAAAGTTAAAAACTTACTTTTTGTTGAAAGAGCATATTCATTCCCAGATAGTCTTCGTAAACCATCCTGATAAAAATCAAGGAAACGAGAGAGAAATCACAACTGTTCTTTATCTCCTGCAGACCCCAGGACTGTGCTCCCAGAGGACAGCTAAGGGCAGCCCTCTCCATCAGTGCACCCTGAGGCTCCCTGGAGATTGACCCCTGAACTCAGTCCCTTCACCGACAGCACTGAGCCTGACACTCGAAGGACCGGCTACACTCGGGGTCGGACGGCACGGGGCGGGGGCGGCTTGTGAGAGGCCCCTCGGCCCCATGCTCCTGGTGGCTCTCAGGACGGTTTGGTTTCTTAGGGGTGACGCCCCTCTGCCCGCCACCCTGCCCCACAGGAGGGCTTTCTTGCCGCCGTCCTCACCCTAGGAGATGCCAGGCTTCCTCTGGGGCTCGGTTCTTCCTCCGGGCATCTCACTCTGCCCAGCAGACTCTTGGCTGAGAGCTGCTCCCAGACCACCGCCCCAGCCCGAAGCAGCCCCCTCCTCTCACCCTGCAGTGACTCCCCCCACCTCACCCCAGACACTTTCCCACCCTGTCCCGTGTCACTGTCACCCCTCGCTAGAGGCTAGAGGAGCCTCTGTCTCAATAGGCAAGTCCATGGTTAGACATCATCATCACTCGAAACCATGCTACCCTTTCTGGAATTATTTGATGCCTTAAAAATTAGGGTTTTAGGCAGGCTTTATCTAGCTACCTGCCTAAAACTTTATTTTGAGGACATCAAGTGATTTCAGAAAGCAGGAACTGGGAGGGAGATGAATTTTATGTCTTCCCAACACAAAGGTGACAGCGATAGAGTGACAATTGTTCTTCCTGTAGAGACCTCTATAGTAGACAGGCTGGAGGGGGCATCCAGGACCTCCAGAGCCCCATCCAATGACATGGTCTCAAGCGCTTCTTTCCAAAGAAGTCACCAGCTCTGCACAGGCTGCTTGGGGGAACCCATGCCCCTTCCCCCGGGGCCTCTTTAAACATGGTCCTTCTGTTTTGCAATGCGGTGTGGAACACTTCATATATTTTTTTTTCTGCCCCAGTTAAGTCGTATTTAAATAAATTACTCATAGAACCCCTAAGCAAAAATGGGGCAGCGGCTCAGAAGACAGTCTAGAACATGCCCCTCCCTTATGTGCTCCAAGCCGAGGTCCCTGGGTGGACGAAGAGCAGTTGAGCCCAAACGATGGACGGGCTTAGGCCCGGACCGAGCCTGACACGCAGACAGCTTTGTCAGGCCGGCCTGTGACCAAATGACCGGAGAACAAACGGGAACGGCAGGCTTCCGCCAGCGGCCTAGTCAACACACACTTACGGACATTAGGCCCCCGACGAGGTCACTGGCGTGAGGGTCATCGTCCTTAGCACCGAACTGCGGTGAGTATAACTCAGTGGTTCTGAGAATTTCCAGCACACGGTCTAAGGCTTCTGTCACAGGCATGGGACTGTTTTCCTGGGCAGCATTGATGATGTTGATTACCTACAACACGGAAAGAAAAGCCTTGCGTTTCGCAGCCTTAAAAACAACGGAAAAGAGATCCTGAGGTCAGGCTGGCCATGCTGCTCAAGGCTGACTGACGACTAGCTGAGTGTCCATGCCACATGCCCTCTCTTGAGAGGAAGCGGCTCCCCGTGACTGGGAGAGCATCAAGATTGTCACAGGTCCATTTCTCCTCACTGGAAAAAATCGGCGGGGAGAACAAGGGACACCGTGCTCAGTGGAGATGGACCACGAACGGCCTCACCTTGGTGATGGGCGCCTCGATGGTCATGGAGTGTATCCGGGCCATGGAGGAGTGTCGTCTCTGGCTGGCCACTGCGGAGAGATCACGTGGGCAGAGGTCAGGGTAGGCACAGCCTCGGGCACCTGGCTTGACCGCCGAGGGCTCCGTGCCCTTACCCACCCCCCAGGCCCCGCTGTGCCCAGCTGCACAGGGAGGGGGCAGGACCAGACCCACATAGCCACCCAGAGCTCCCCTCCTTCCTACGAGCCTGGGACCCCGGCCTAACCGCCTCTGCTTCCTTCGGTTCTAGGTACTAGGAAGCACGTGCCCCCACAGACTGAATGTCTGATGTCACAGGCCAGAGAGAAAACAGGAAAGCAACTAGCGAGCCAAGGCCAAACAGTCAGCCTCTTTTCATGTTTATAACAATGAGGCTTTGTAAGTATTCAGCCTGCCGCTGTCCAGGAGTAAGGATGTTTTGGAAGACAATGCCACACAGACTCTTTGTTTCATATATGGCAAGAGAGATAAATACTACTCGCCATGAACTGAAATACATGAATTTCTGGTTACAGTTTTCAAGGCATCCACCGTTATGCATAATCCAGACTAATTAGGTAAATACCTCCGACGAGGCAAGCAGCAACTCTTAGGTTCTAAAGTTTGTTCATTTTTTGGTTTGGGTTCCTCTGGGGGTAGCGGAGAGCCTGGGCAGTGCACAGGCAGGAAAAATGTTCACACAGAGTTCTGTCTGTCTCCCTGAAAGCCCCACTGTGAGGCCAAACGCTCTTTACCAAACACCGTAAGGACCGCAGCCTGATGTGTCAGCCTCGCGCTCCCAGACTCGGGCCCTGGGAGAAACTCCGAGCGAGAGCAGCCACGCAGCGGCTCTCAAACGCTTTAAACGCTGGGGGCAGACAAACTGCCTTCAGTCTAGTTTTGACGACCAGCATGTAGTTGCCACCTTTCCATTTTACTCAATGGGGTCATTGAACTCAAAAGAAAAACCACTATTTTATCATTATGTCATAAAAGGACTTGTTCTCATTTGAAAATTAATAAAAGTGACATCTGCTTACAAAAACCAAACAATAGTATAAATGCAATAAAGTCAGAAAAAGGTATAAAGATTGTTGTGGCTGTGTATGTGGAAAGTCCACAAAAGAATCGACAAGCACGACTCTGACATCCCTGAGTGAGCTGGTCAAGGCTCCTCGGGACAAGGTCAATATACAAACGTCAATTGTATTTCTGTAAGCTAGCAAAAAACAACTGGAAACTGAAATCAAAAACACCAATATGACATGTGACAGCATCTAAAAACATCAATATTTAGGAATATAATGAAAGATGTGCGAGATTTATATACTGAAAATGCAAAACGCAGCTGAGAGAAAATAAAGACAACTGAAACGGAGTCCCAGAGCGCACGCAGCGCCTGTGAGAGTCAGCGTGACTGAGCTTTCAGTTTTCCCCAAGTTGACCTACAGATTCAAGACGCTCCTAGATAAAACCTAGGAGGCGTGCGTGCGTGCGAGTGTGTGTGTAAACTAACAAGCCGATTATAATGGAAGTGCAAAGGACCTAAAATAGCCAAGATAATCTTGAAGAAGTTTACGCCACCAGATATCAAGACTTCCTGTAAGGCTGTAGAAATTGACGATGGCGCTGGTACAAGCACAGACTAACAGAGAAGTGACACAGAGTCCAGACACAAGACCGCATGTGTACAGTCATCTGATTTACAACGCTGATGCTGTTGCAAAAGCTGTTTTTTCAATACGGTGATGGGCCAATTGGATTTTCAAGGGGTGGGGAGGGAAGATTCGTCTTTGATCTCTACCCTCACCAGATGTAAAAATTGATTTGAAATGGATCACAGACCTAAAGTGGAAGATGAAACAAGCTTGACCTTGGGATAGAGAAAGATTTCTTAAACAGGACAAAAAAGCACCAGCTATAAGAGAAAACACTGATAAAATGAACTTTATTAAAATTAAGAACCTCTGTTATTTAAGAGACCTTTAAGAGACGGATAAGGCAAACCACATACTGAGAAAATATATTTGTGATACACACATCCAACAGAGGACCCATATCTAGAATATATAAAGAATCCCTACAAAACAATGAGGAAAAAGAGAAACACCCAGTTATAAAAATGGGTAAAATATGGAACAGTGCTTCACAAAAAAGGATATTCAAATGGTCAATAAGTATATGAAAGGTGTGCTCGACTTCACTGGTCACCAGAAAAATTCAAACCACATCCACCAGAACGGCTGAAATTTTAAATGCTGGCATAGCCAAGTGTGGGAGGATGTAGAGCACCTGGAACTCTTATAGGTGAGCGATGGGGAGGAGCCCAGTACAGCCCACGTTGGAGCTGTTCACAGCTGCCCAAAGGCCCAGGGCATACACAGGTGCACACACACACACACAAGAACATTCACATATCTTTATTTTTAAAAGCCCCAAAGTGGAAAGATAGACACTGATGTCCATTAATAAGAGAACAAATAAACAAATCGTGGCATATTCATATAATGGAGTATTTACTGAGCCATGAAAAGAATAAACTACTGATACACCTAACGACACGGATGACTCTCAAAAACGCTGACACGACCGAAAGAATCCAGACAAAGAATGTGTACTCATGTTATATGGTTCCGTTTCTTGAAGCACAAGAGGCCAGGTGAATCTGCAGTTTTAGCAACTCTCGGTTGCCTCCGTGTGGCAGAGGTGTGTGTGCAAGTGCATGCGTGTATACTATCTGGATCTACACTGCGTAGTAGTTACATGAGTGTAAACAATTGTCAAAACTCATTGAGCTGAACACTTAACATCTGAAATTTATTATGTGGAAATTATAACTCCAAAAGAATAGTGGTTAAAAACCAAAAGCATTAAAAGAAGAACGTTTACCTATTAAAAATACAGAAATGGACAAAGTCACTCAAAGGATGAGGGAGGCTGGAAACGCCTGGCCGTGGGCATGAGTGAGCTGGCCCCTGTCCTGCCCTGCGAGGGACATGAGGGCAGGAGCTGGGCCTCTGCTGTACAATCCAAGGTGCTACTGCCCTGCAAAGTAGTGGCTTTTTATCTAGTAATAGCTCCACATGCTTCCCCGTTCATCTTTGGGTTGAAGAAAGTACACAGTTAGCAGTGTGATTTGCCTCCGCGCTACCGATAAATCATTTTTATTACATTTTTGAAACTACTAGATCATTCAGGCTATGTATCTATATATCTATATAATATTTAAACATTATATTCCAATTAGAACTTAAATAATATTCGCTTAATAAGAGTCTTTCACATGCAGCTCACCTCCCCACCAAAAAATAAGCTTCTAGGCAAACTGCAACCCACAACGAAATACAGTTAAGTCCTCACTCAATGCCACTGAAAGGTTCTTGGAAACTGTGATTTTAAGCAAAATGACATACAAGAAACCAATTTTACCATAGGCTAATTGACAAGAACAAAAGTTAAGTTCCTATGGCATATTTCTGTTCACAAAACCATCATCAAACTTCTAAATAAAGACTTGAAACACTTCTAATATTGAACACTGAAATAAATGTGAGCTACACGTAAGGACAATTAATAAAAATAAAGGAGATCATTATTTTCCAACCTGCTTATGCCAGTTCAGAGTCGAGTGTGGCTGCAGCCTCTCCTGGGACCCCACCCTGTATGGGACGCCCTCCCATCGCAGGCCCACTCACACCCACGCATACTCACTCAGCCAGGGACTATTTAGACACCCCAGGCACCTCACGTGCACATCTTTGGGACGTGGGAGGAAATCAGGGGACCTGGCAAAAAGCCATGCAGATGCGGGGAACGTGTACACTCCACACAGTGGCCCTGCCAGGAGTCCATTTTTTTCTCCCCTTGTCAACATTATAACGAAATGACGTTGAACAAAACAATGTTATTCGAGGACTTGCTCTATATTGTTAAGAATTCCCAAATGCATCACTCGCACAATGATAGCAGGTAAACTGACATTCTGCTGTTACACTTTAGGGAATTGACCGCAGAGCGGGCAGGGAGATGCACCTTTTTTCTTTATTCCCTCACTCCATCGAAAGGTTCACATGGAACCCACAGGCGGGAGTCGGGGAAGAGGGAGAAATGACAGACGGCTAGAGGGTCTCCCGTCCTGAACTGGAGCTGTACAGCGACCCAGAGGCAAGATGGAGAGGCACGGTGGGCCTGCATGTCGCACCGAGGGTCACACCCTCCCCTTTGTCCTGCACCCACCTTCGCTCGCGCGATGGCCAACAGCTTTGACGTCTAGTGAGCTTTTTCTCTTGTCTTTATGTTTGCCTGACTGATTATCTGTAGAAACAAATTACAAATCACCTCGTCAAAAGGATTAACAATGAAAACATGTTAGGAAAATTATCAATCTAAAAAAAATTTAAAAAGAAAACTTAAGAATTACAACACAAAAATCAACACAGTGGGCAGAAATGCAGACTATGAACGAGGGGACTGACTTTCTCAAAATGTCCCTCTTGATAGAATCATAAACAAGTGCCTTACAGCTTCCAGATGACATATTACAGAGTCCCACTACATAAAGTAAGAACTAAGAGAAAGTTTGATCCCCATCCACACTCACCCCAAGGGAAAAAAAAAATCTATGTATTTTTCCTACAAGACCTAAAGTGCCTCAGGGAAGAACGTGCCTCTTCCTGCGCAGTGCACAGTGCAGGGAGTGTCAAATGACAGTTTATCTTTCTCCCCGTGACCCCACCTTCGGTGAATGGCACCGCTGCTTTTCTAGTAAGATCTCTCTCCCCGACCCCACACCAATCAAGGACAAGACAAAGTTGACCTTCCTTCCTGTCCCTCCTCTGTGTACCTAACAGGTGCCACGGAGGTGCTGAGCCTCTCCAACCTGTCCCCATTTCACAGACGAGGAAACTGGCAGCCGCCGGGCGGGTGGCTGAACGCGGCTGGCGCTCGGCCCTGGTGTCCCACCTGGAGGCTGCGTCCTCTCTGCCCCATCGTGGGGTCCTCACCTGGAGCCCCACTCACAAGCAGGACCGGATGCAGGGCCTTGGCACCCACCCCCATCAAGACGTTTCTTCATTTGCTATTTGCTACGCTCTCTTCTGCACGGGCACTGACCCTGAACTTGTCACAGTCACTGCAGACCTCCGTCTGGCTACATCTGAAGGACACAATTCAACTCTGACCCAGCTTGGCCTGACTGCTTTTCCTGGAAACTCCTGGTCTGCACCAGGCCTTGCTCTCCGGCTTTCCTTCCTGGTTTCCCTCATGGTCCCCTCTCCCCAAGCCCCACCCAACCACAGTGCTCGGGAATCTGTCCTGAGCCCTGCTCCTGTCCGAAGGCAGTCCCTTCGAGAGAGCCCGTCCTTCCGATAGCTTTAAGCAATCTCTGTGCCCCTGTCTCACCCTGAGCTCCAGGCTCCCACCTTAACTGGCCATTGGTCACCTGCACCTGGGTACCCCTCAGGCACTTCAAGTGAACGCATTATCTTCCCCCAAACCCACTCTTAGTCCCAGGTCGCTGAGTTGGAGACAAGAATGGGTATGACTCCTCCCCTCTCTCCCCTCTCCCTCGACTGGTCAGCTAAACCTGTGGAGTTGGCCTCCTCAATACGTCTTTAATCTGACCCTGCTCTGTCGCTGCCCTAGCTCAGACGCTCGTGATCCTCCTCCGGATTACAGGCACACTCTCTCATGCCCCTTTCGACCCCTGCTCCACAGGCACCCAACTAACCCTACTAAAACAAAACCCTGACCAGATCGCTCTCCCAATTAGAACATTTCGATGGCTCATGACTTTTTAGGATGAGATTGAAGCTCCCCAGTGTGGCACCCAGAATCCTGTGATCCTGACCCCTTCTCCTCGGCCATCATGGACCGTTTCTGATGTGCTGGTTGAGCTCCCCACCTCTGCGCCTCAGCAGACTGCTTCCCTCCGCTTGAGGGGGTCCCTCTCCCAAGTCACCTTCTTCACCCTGTTAACTGTTGCTCCTCTTTGAAGATGCGGTTACGACGCAGTACAGGTATCATAACCTTTGGGAGACCTTCCCCACACGCCCCCGACCCCACCCTACACTGCCGGCAACCGACTGCCTTGCTGTCTGTTCCCCACCAGCTGTGAATGACATGAGGACAGAGAAGTCTTCCTTCCTCCTCACTAGGTGACCAGCACTGCCTAGCAAGTAACAGCTGCTCAGCCATCACACATCTGCTTCTCCAGACGCCTGCATGTTCCTGTCACAAATGAAAGCGCCACTAAATCAAACTGCTCTGGCTCCCGGGCCCCCACCCTGCAGCACCTCGGCGACAAGGAGTAACCCCGGCTGGCAGTCAAGGCCGGGGTCAGTCTGCTGGCAACCGCCTGCCTTCCCTCTCTCACCGGTCTTGACCACACGCGGGCTGTGTCAGCACAGCTGCTCCTCACTCTGTCTCGGGAACAGCCTTGACATCTGCTCCTTCTGCCTCTGGCACAGGACACTGAGCCCTCTCCGAAACCCACTTCAGAGGGCACCTCCCCCCACCACGCGCAGACCCAGGCACGTGTCCTCTCCCTGAGCTTCGTGATCAACGTCCGCACGGCTGCCTGATGAGACCGCGCTGTGAATTTGCTTGTTTCCTCGTCCCACTCCCTTTATCCACTCCACACACTGTACTGGGCACCCACATGTCGGGCCTTAAGCCAGGCCTTAAAGACGTGAAGCTGAACAAGGCGTGAGCTATAGCAGTGGTTCCCAACCCTTTCGGCTGCTATGAGAATCTGATGCCTGATGATCTGAGGTGGAGCGGAGGTGGCGATGCTGGCCCTGGGGAGTGGCTGCAAGTAGCGATGGAGCTTCCCCTCCTCTCCCATCGCTCACCTCCTGCTGTGCGGCCCGGTTCCTAACAGGCCACGGACCTGACCAGAACCGGTCCGCAGCCTGGGGGTTGGGGACCCCTGGTCTAGAGGGGACAGAGGTAGAAGAACTCAGAGTTATAGCAATAATTCTGAGGCACAGAAGGAGCCCCGAGGAGGAAGTGGAAGATTCTTCCCTGGGACAGGAGCAGAGAGGATGTGAGCCAAGAAGACAAGGAAGCTGACTGTGCCGATGGAGCAGGAGCGGGGACTGGAGAGAAGCAAGAAGCACGTGTGTGCCGAGGATGGGGTGTGGCTCGAGAAGCAGGCTTTCACTTCTACCTAACATTTCAAAGTGACTTGATCTCTGAGTCCTATAGCACCTTCCCTGCTGAGATGCTGGGAGCACCTGGCTCTCAGAAGCTCAACTCAGACTCGTGGACACGGACAATAGACTAGTGGTTACCAGAGGTGGTGGGGGGAGGGGGAAGGAGGGAGGTAGTGGGGTAAAAGGGGTCCAATATGTGGTGACGGAAAGAAATCTAACTATGGGAGGTGAACACACAATGCAATATATATATGCCTTACTGTTAAACTGTACTCCTGAAACTTAATGGATTTCATTAACCAAAGTCACTATAAAAAAAAAAAATTTAGAAAAAGGAAAGAAGAAGCCGGACTCAGGAAGGCTGAAGGGATGAAGGCAGAAGTGTGAGGTTTCGGCCCCGGAAGCAGCGGAAGGAGCGAGGACAGGCCCTCCTCCCCGGGGGTGCTGACAGTACGGACTGACCTGAGGCGTCTGGCCATCAAGGCAAAGATGCAAAACGGGCCTCCACAAACCAGGGCTCTGCTCTCAGTTTCCCTTTCCGTGAAATGCAATCCTTCCACAATGCCCACTGTTTGAGGACAGAGAAATCAGCGACACTTCCCTGGCCTGCTGGGTAGGTCCGGGGAGCCCTGGGGAAGCTGGGAGTGGCAACCGCAGCGCCCGCACGGGTGGCAGCCGCCCCTGTTCCCGCGTGGACGCTGGCGTCTGGCAGGATGGGCTCCTTCCTGCTGTGAGGAAGCTGAGAAGCAGGTATCTTACGGGACTTCCCAAAGTCCCTCTGCTGGAACACAGCAGACTTTCAGAGAACATTCTCAGACACTCAACAGTCCCAGCACTTGTGGACTGCTTGCTCTGCACGGGGACCACCCTCGCTCGGGGGACTCCACCGACCTCCAAACTGCAGTCGACAGCTGCCTGTGAGCCTTCGTCCCCCCTGCGCTCTGCGGCCTCAGACACAGAGAACCACCTCCTCCCTCCTCCTGACAAAGCTCGCTTTCCCCAGACACAGAGGGACACACTTAAAAGCTGATTTCTGTCGTGTGTAACCAAGGACCCCGCTGGTCCACTGCCTACAACTCCACTGCCTCCCAAAGCAAGACCAGGAGCTGAGTCTTCTGGACATAAAGCTGGTTACGCTGCTGACGGGGAAGGAGACTGGACAGCCAGCGGCTCATCTGGGTGAGATGGGCAAGACTCTTACGTGGGCACTGATCTAGTAAAAGGACAGAATGGCCCCACACAAACGGTTTGGGAGATTCCTCCCCAGCTGACTGTCTTCTGTGACCATGTCGCTAATTCTGCCTTCCAGGGCCAGCTCGTCATTTCCTGGCTGCCTGACTCTAGGCTGTCATTTAGCCCTTTGAAACTTCAGTTTCTGTCTCAGTAATAAAAAGATGTTAACAACAGCCACGACTAGTTCACGGGCCTGCACTATTTTTTTTGGGGGGGGGGAGGGCAGGGCAGTGGCTGTTCTAAATGTTAAAAAAAATCCAAGGCAAGGTGCTCCACGACCTTGTAGAATAAGGGTCACGGTCAGGCTGGGCGCATGTTGGTAGCTTCCACTGCTGCCTCCTCCAGCCTCTGCAGGTTGCGTCTCCCAAGCCCGCACTCCTCCAGGTCTTGGATGCCAAAGCCAAGGTCTCTCTCCTTCTCTGGCGCTGCACTCCCCTCCCCCTTTCTCTGTGCGTTTCGGCCCTGACCATGGTCGATGTGTCCCCGTTCTCCCGTCCCTTGACTCAGGGACACCTTCAGGTTTCTGCTCCCACTGACCCTGATGCTGATGCAAGTGATCTTCCCACCCAATCCCCCCACCACCCCGACACACACCTTTTCTTGGCGTCTCTTCCTGGGTCACCTCAGAGTCTCCACTCCCCTTTGCCATCCCTGGGTCAACCTCATCAGTTCTACATCCAAACTACTAGGTGATGCTTTGCTGGCCAGCAAAAGTCACATCTCCAGTCCTGATCTCTGAAGCACACAGAAACAAGGGCCCCAGGGCCCAGGAGGTACTCAAGAGAACTTATCACAATGAATCAGCGGACGAGTGAACACACACACGAACCCAGGGCCTCACAAATAGCGCCTTCCACATCCGCCTCCCCCAGCCCGGGCCATGCCCTCCATGCCCAGGGTTAACACCCATGTTCTGACTGCTCGTTCTCGCTTCCCCCCCTCTGGCCCCACGCCATCATCGCCCTGGCCTCTCCCGTCCACTTACTGTCACCATCGCACGCCCTGGCTGTTGTTTCCTCCCCTCTAGACTATGGTGACGTTGGCTTTCCTGTCCCTGGTCCCTCCTGCCATGGCACCTGTATCACACGTGCTCTAGGAGCTTCTCAGAGCCCAGACCTCATGCCACTCCCGCCCCCAAACCCTCAGACCCCGCCGCCTATGGGCGAAAACCCCCATTTCCCCCCTGGCACTCCGGGGTCCTTCACGATCCCAGTCCTCTTTCCACACTAACCATGCACACTAGTCGAATCTAATCCTTACTCTTTCTGGAACACACTCTGTACTTTCTGTCTTCTGTGCCTGTTTTTATTACTAGGATGCTTTTCCCTCCACACGTTCTTCTTATTCAAATTCACGTGCCCCTGTCTGGAACTTTCCCTCTTCCTCTGAGTTACCACGGCACTACTGGTCCTCTCTCATTTATGACTGATCACCTCTCACCACTTGCTGTGTCCCGTGGTATCAACATGTCTCTTCTTTTCACATTAAAGCCCGACTGCTCTTGGGGCACCCACGAGAATTGTCCCAGCATGCACTCGGGGCTTCTGGAGTTGGCTGCTTGGATCGAGTGCCGGCCCCACCCCTTCTTAGATGGGTATCTTTGGGCAAATTAGTTAGCCTTTCCACTTCCTTATCTGTAAAAAAGGAACTTCATCTATAAAAGGTCTACCCATTGGATTATTGCAAGACTCTAATTAAACACACTCAAGCACAGTGCCTTATACACAGCAAATGCTCAGAAAGTATGTGGGTGACATTTCTAGAACAATGGATGAACCTTCCGGTGCTGCAGAAAGCACGTCCCCAACAGCCAAAGGGCTGGAAGACAAAGCCTCCTCCCTGGGCGCTCGCACGGGCTGGCTGGGCCACCGGAGCACCACCGGGGCACGGCAGGGCGCCACAGAGCATGTGCACAAGCTCAGTGCGGCGCCTGCGCACGGGGCTGGAGCGGGCCTGTCCCGTCGCCCCCGGCCCCTCATCTGTGAGCACAGGCGCAGGCAGGCGGCTTGTGAAGCCACATGCATGAAGGAAACAGGCAATTCCAGGCCTGGGAAAACTGCCTGCAGGTACACAGATGCGGGGAGGAGCAGATGGTGCCCAGGACACAGAAGGAGTGGGGCGAGTCCGGCTCCCTCCCTGTGGGCACGTGGCGACCACTATCTGCAGATGAAGATGTCCCTGACAAAGTACTGTGCTCCGACCCTCAACACTGCTGCCTCTTCAAATAGAGATCAAGCCAACAAACCACACTTCACCCAACACGTCCCCGTATTAAGTGCATGCATTTGAGGTGACCAGTTCTCTCCCCGCAGGCTGTGACCCACCCCGGGACACCTGTCAGAATGCCCACAGCGCTCAGGTCCTTAGACTCACAACCCAGCCTGGGGAGCCAGGCGAGAAACGCTGCCATGGCGCCGGGAAATACAGCCCCCCACGCCAGGCAAGCTGGTCGGAGTGGGGTCTGCTTTCACTTTATTTGTTTCCAAACCTCAGTGAACCCTCAGAATGAATATGGCGCACCATACCTGTGAGTCTGTCAGACTGAACACATTCGGCTATTTTCTCGGCCTAGAAATGAATTTAACAGCCGTTAGTTCTGACGGCCGAGGTTTGGGTAAGGGAATCCTCGCTGGGGCGCAGCCGGGGTCCGAGGGGCCCCCTCACCTACCTTGTTGTTGCCACTGCACACTCTGATAATGGACACATAGTGTCTAATTCTTCTGCAAGTAGAAAACAATGCGTTATTTCTCTCCGGGCTCTCTATTCTGGGGTATATGTAGCTAGTTTTTCATTGTGAAAAGAGCATCTCTCTTCCACAGCACACAGAGTGCTTTGAGAAAAGCCTATGGTTCGTGGCCAAGGCCGCCAAAAAACAAGCAAGCGTCTACAAGCACCCTTTGGTGTTTCTGTAGAAACGAAATCAACTCTTCAGTAAAAAACGAAATTCTCCCAAGTCATAATGCAATAAAAAATACCTATGTTTTTAAAAATGTACTGCATGTTTAACCCAGAGCCTGTAATTCCTTAACACGTTTTCGTTCTCAGACCCTTATATTGAGGCGCTTCTTCCAGTCCCAGGAGCAGTCTGCTCACACCCATTCGGGGAAATGGCCCGAGGCCACGCGGGGCCCTGGTCAGCTGCCCCTCTAAGACAAAGCCCTCGGGGCTTATCTCAGAAGCTGCTGACTCTCCTCATTTATTGTTCTTTTCAGTTTTTCAGTCTTTCCCCTTGATAATCAAATCACTATATACTTATCACGAAAAAATTTGGAAAGGACATAAAAAGGCAAAGAATCAGAACAGAGGGCCCACATAGATCCAGTTCCCCGGGGCAATCGCCAACTGGCAGCAAAGCCTGGTGACCAAGCACGTGAGCCGTGCAGTCAGCACAGACGTCTCGGCCCGGCTCTGCCAAGTGTCGGCAGCCGGACCTGGGGCCAGAAATCTCGCCTCCCAGCCTCAGTTTCCGCATCTGGAAAATGGAGACGGCCACAGTGCTGACATCACGGGGCTGTGGTTGGGGTGAAATGAAGTGACGTCTCCCAGGCACTGAGAGCCGGCCCAGGGAGGGCGGGCGCCGTGACCAGCAGCAGCTGCTAGAACCACTGCCACATCTCCCCGTTCCTTCTTCCTTCTTCCGTCTTCACGACTGAGATCAAACCCTCCGTACTATTCTACATTCTGACTTTTGCATTTATCGTAAGCATTTTTCCTTGTAATTTACTTTTCTAAGATCATTGTTTCTAATGGTTGCATATTTTACTGTTGGTTGTCCTATAATTCATATTCATAATTTTCTGCTATTCAAATTACTTAAGAAAGATTCTGAGATAAACCATCAGAGATTTTTAGGCCCCTGGTATACACTGCTTTCCAATCTGTAGTCACATCTGTTTTATGTGTTTCTATAAATAGTAGTATTTAATATTTTGATCTAATTTGATAGGTTTATGCGGCAGTAACACACAGGCTATCGAATTAAATAAAAATTTTTTAAATGTGGGGAGTCCACCAGTCAGTGTTCTTATCACACAGCTTAATAAAGTGACATTCTGATTTAAATACATCAGTCTCCTGTATATCCGTGCACTTAAGCAAGAGTGTCCAGAGTCTGGTGGCTCTGGGTCAGCAGGTGGAGGGTCGGGCTGTGGCCATGGGGAGGCCACACTGTAAGGGCAGTCTTAGATGACACCTTTCTTTCAAATTTCTGCATGCAGTTCTTAATTTACTTAAGTGTTCAAAGCACATTGTACAATAAGCCAAACACGGTATGTTGACTGGAGTACTTGTTTTTCCACTTACCCTCCCTGTCCAATGACAGGTATTATCTTCACATTTTGTTGTACATTATCTCCGTTTTTGGCATAGCAAATTCCTTGCCACTCCTATAAATGGAACGTAAGCATCATTACACTTTGTGTTCAAAACATAAACCCAAGAATATTTTCCACTCCAAGTTTTGATTCATTTACCATTGCTAAAGCAATTAGGATACAAATTACCCCAACCCCAAACACAATTTTGGGCAATCTGACATTCTCTCTCAAACTTCCAAGTCCATCTCCTTCTGAGCTGCCGAGAAAAGCCAGGTCTAAGTGGCCATATGTTTTCGGTGGCCGTCAGCTGGCACAGAGGCCCTTGGCCTGAGTGAGGAGTGCTCCCTCGCTTCACCACACAGACTGCTCCTCTCCTAAGTCCTACCTGCTGCGGGAGGGGGCTGAAGGGAGTGACTGCTAGCCCTGCATGTGGGCGAGGAAGAATCAGGACTAGGCAGAGAAGGCGACCTTCTGTGGCCACGAGTATGGCTGCTACCACCTGTGGGATGGGTTTTGGTCCCTCTGGGGTGGGATGATGAGGTAATAGCCAGGACCGCGCTAGGGTGAAACAGATAGGTGAGACCTCATAAGGGCTGCGATTGCATTAGTCATGCTCTCAGGTCAGACAAAATCAGGGGTTTTTCCAGAAGTGCAGTCTGGGAGAGCTACCGGTATGTGTGGGACCTGACCGCAACGAGAGAACGGAGGCTTGCAAGTGGCTCCCTTGCTCTCGGCATGTGGGGAGAAACCTGGGAGGGAGCTAAGTTTGCCACCATGTAAAAGATTGTGGATTCCTACAGCAGTCACTAAGGATCCTTAAGCTATACAAATCCCTGAAACTCACTGTAGGACACGGAACTCGTAGGGTATTGCATAACCTCCTTGACCTCCGGAGTCCCTCGGGACCTAGAGCTGACCCAGGCAGGATGTGGACCACCATGGCAGCCTCGGTGGCTTAGCTCAAGTTTCCTGCCCAGACCCTAGTTCAAGGTCAATCGTGAAACCTTCTATGCTTGGGGCGTGGCGACCTGCATGCAAACACCAATGGCAGAACCTCATCTTCAGATAAGAAAGTGGATCCAAGAGGGCGGTGTGGCCGGAACTCAGTACGTTCTGAGGGGACGCGCACCTGTGCCGGAAGCGGGCCAGGGCCAAACGGCGATCCCACGGCAGGGATGTGCAACCGGTCCTCCACACCCCCGTGCCCACCGCGGGAGGCTTCGGCAGACGGGCCGAAGAGGAGTACGGGAGGGGCGCTGTGCTAGTGTTTGCAGAGCTCTGTGAATATGCCACACGCCACTGAACTGTAGATTTTAAATGGGTGAATCGCGTGGCATGTGAATTATCCCTCAACAGAGCTGTCAGATTACAAAGAAGAGAGAGGGAGAAGAACGAGAGACCAGTTCGGTCAATCAGCTCTTTAAAGAATTCACTCAGGCTTCTCTCCTTCGGTCTTTTCTGAAAAGACCGAGTGGCTGCCAGGTCCCAAGCAGAGGCGCGAGAGGCCACTTCCAAAGCTGAACAGTCCAGCGAGCAGAGGAGAGCAATTTAGCCAAGACTCTGGTTGGCTAACAAAGGTGCCTGTAAGTTTTCCAGTCACCAATGGAAACAAAAAATACTTGTCATAGATCATATTTCTTATCCAAAATATATTTTAAAATATTGACTATCATAAACATATAAGTTTTAGATCCTGAGAATAACGGAGTTTTGTCTGAGAAGGCCGTGAGCGAGATTCCATCTGGTAATGCACAGAAACCCTAAGCACGGTCCTGCCACAGGGCAAACATGCGGAAAATGGTGTGTTTCTGACACTGGCCACCCCGCACAGGCCTCTCTCCAGGCCGCGCTGTCCTCAGCACTGTACTAAGGCCCGCACCTCCCTCCCGCTCCGGGGCGAGCCCAGCACCAAGCTGGGCTCCTCTGCCAACTGAGACAGTCCCTTCTCGGTGCCCGTCATCTTAAGAAATAAACCACCGTCACCTGCTGTCCTACCCCGAGGGCTAGCACAGTGCTCATGCATGGCAAACAGTCGAGGACTCTTGGGCTTCTGTTTACTGAACGGAAAAGGGAGGCCGAGGTGAGACTGCAGAATCCCGGCAGCCGGCTCAGGGATCTGAGCTCTGCGCTGAGGGAGTAACATGGTCAGAACGATGATTTGGTACGACCAATCACTCAGTAGCGTAGACTGGACACACCGGAAGTGGAGGATGATCAAGCAGGAGACCTCACTGGATTCAGCCACCACAATCACAGTATGTGGAAAGAAGGCCCTGGACAAGGCTGGGCCCAGGCAGTGGACACGCGAAGGCAGGGGCTTAGCAGACGTCAAGGCTTGGTGATGGATTTGACGGAGGACACTGAAGGGTGGGGAGGAACCAAGACCGTGCCAGGAACTGAAGTCCGGGCGGCCGCGAGGGCGGTGCAGGAGCAGAGGAAGCAGGGGCTGGAGACGCTGGGTCTTTTGTGAACGTCACTGTTAGACAGGTCGATTCAACATGACGGCAGCATGCTGAACCAGACCTTGGAAAAGAGGCTGTGGCTAAAAGTGGGGAGGCGTGGGACATCTATACGGAGCTGGAAAGATGCCCGAGTGACAAAGGAGCGGTCTGAGGAACCCGGCCAAGGACAAAGAGCCCTAGTGAATGGGGAAGCAGATGGAAGGAGAGTCGGAGAAGAGGGGAGTCGGTGGAGGAGGAAGGCTGACGTGTCATGGGGGCTCACGACGTGAAAGCTGTGAAAAGCTAAGGGGCTACGGCCATATGTCACTGTCACAGGCAGGCCTCTGAGCAGCCAACATTTATTCAGTGCCTACGAGACACAATTTCCGAGGGAAAAAGTCAAAATTTCTAAAAGAGAAGAGCACTGTAAAGCCCAGGTGTCTGAGAAGATGGGAGACGGGGTTCTAGAGCCCCGACAGAGAAGTCTTAGGGACAGAAAGGGAGGAGAGTCAGGAAGTACACGTGCGGGGCGCAGGGAAGTGTGGGCACAGGGGCTGAAAACCAAGGCACCCGATGGTATCGATTGTGCCCAAAAGAGGAGCCATTAGCTGAGAACAGAGGGGTCTGTGGACAACAGTGTTTGCAACATTCTCTGCTTGAACATCATCAGAATTTCTCCTCCACTCCCAAGAATATCCGACAGATTGGCAACCCTAGAACTGGACACTCGAGAGCCGACGGCGCCCCACCATCTAACTGCCTCCTAACCCTCCGTTCTGGTTCCCAGCGCATGTCTGACCTCCCCCCGCTGACCATGGTACTGAGCCGCCCAGCGCCCCTGTTCTTCCAGGGAAACTGAATTAGAAAGGCCATATGTCATCTCACCTCGGAAAAGAGCCCAGCCAAGCAGCGGGTTACTGACGAAGGACAAATGGCTGCTTTTCCCCTCCCAAGAACTCTGAACATACAAAACAAATAACCAGGCTCCTTTCTGAAATAAAACACTACAGAGGTTGAAAATGCAATCTATTGAATTCTCTGCTCACAAAACACAGGTTTTAGAGAAAAGGTCTCCTGCAGCTCGAGCGTGAGGCCCTCTGTGCCTGGTGCCCAGCGGCAGGACTCGGTGGGGAGGGGCCGTTCGCCTGGCTCTAGACGGATCAGGACGGACCCCAGGGCCTACGGCCGATCCGCTCTGTGTCCCCCTACATCTCTACTTGCTCTCCTCAGTGACAGGGAGATGGATGCCTCGACGTAAGTGTCCGATCAAGGTGCATGAGGGCCACCGTCTCTGGCACACGCTCAGACGAGCCTCACAACAAAATCACTGGCCAGCCCGGGGGCAGTATGGGCCCCACCCACCAGGAGGGGGACGGCCACAATAAAGCCCCCTCAAGGACAACAGGTCTCGGAGGACAGAGGATGGAGGATGGCTGCCTTGTTCCCGCCTTCTGAGGACGCCCCTCCCAGCAGAGGGAGGCAGGGAGGGAGCACCGGGAGGGAGCACCGGGCCCAACCCGTGCAGTGAGCCCGAGCACCCGCCGGCCTCTTCACCCACCTCCACCTCCACCCTCTGTCCAGAGGGCCTTCTACTGTCCCTAGTCAGAACTCATCACCTTTGACAGAACAGTGGACAGTGAAACAGGATTCGGGCAACGCCCAATTCTGTCATTTCCCTGACGGCGTGCCGCTGGGCCCTCGCAGCCGGCCTGCTCCTCCCTTGTTCTCACGTGGGCAATCTGGTGTGCAAACAGACACGCACCCACCCACACACGGTGTCTTCGGGGGCCACAAGCACGTGAGGGTCAAGCTCTGCGTGGCCCTCCTGCCCCTGTGGCAGACTGCTCTTCTGTGCAACGGGAGGGCACTGGCCACACGCCACAGTGGACAAAGCGCTGCTTCCCCTGGGGCCTCCACAGTGGACAGGAAAGGAGGTCACCAAGTTCTCAAACATTTTAAATAATCAGATGAATAGTCCCTAACCAACTTCTAGAAGTCAAAATGAGCCCAACAGGAAAGACTAAGAGTGACCTAAAACCAGCAGCCTTGCCCTGCTCATAGTATTTTAAAACCTAATGACACGAGGTGCTGTCAGAAGCCACTGCCGGGAGAGAAACACGCTTTCAGACTGAGCCCGCCTTTCTTTCGTCTGCCCCGCAGCACCATGATTACGTGATTCTCACAGTGCTGAGTAAGGGTTCCTTTTATCTGTCTGTTTTGCAACCTGGAATATGAGTTCTCGAAGGCAGGACTTCCTCTTTTGCTTTTCTTTCTGTACCAGAATCCAGCAGAGCACCTGCCGTACAGGAGGCATTTAAAAGCGCTGAACGAATAACGAGGCTCAAAGAACCAGTGGGCTCAGATGTGTTCTGAGGAGGTGTCACCTCACTGGCGACCCTTTACCCAGAACCGCTGCCCACCCACACCCCCACTTAGATCGATTATTAGAAAGATCAACTTACTTATCACAAAGATGAAAACAATGGCTTTAAGTGTCAATTACAGTTAGTCTGCTTATTGGCTGATCACACTACATGCTTTCTTGGCCTCAGTTTCCTCATCTGCAAAACGGGAGTAACAGGGAAAGCACCACTATACTGCTGCGGCTGCTGGGGAGAGTAAGACGGAGGTTACCTGGCACGTGCAATGTCCAGTGAACGCTAAGTCTCCTTCCTTCCCTCTTCGTCACGTGAAAGCAAGAAAGGTACTGACCTCTTACTTACCTTGCCCATCCTGATGTATGAATTTATAGTATCGAGCAAATCGGCCTTTTTTTCATTTATAGGCACTTCGGCTAACTTCTTCCCTATTAATTCACCTGACTCATAGCCCATTGTTGTTTCAAATGCAGGATTTGCATACTGCGGGGAGACAAAAGAAAAAACATCAAGTGAATTAAAAGAAAATGTGAAAAGAGGACAAATAAGCTACCATCTTCCCCAAACAAAAGCTCAGGAGCCTGGAGCTCCCCGCAGCCCAGCCGTTCTGAAGCCACAAGTGCACAACCCCTGAGGAACCTGGTGTCCAGAGGAGCCTCTGCCCAGGGCCACCCGGCTGGGCTTTCTGCTGTGTCCTGAGGCTCCAGTGAGGGCAGCAGGCCCCTCGCACTGAAACACCAGCAGAGGAAAGAAGCCCCCGAGGAGACAGACCACTACCCCCCCCCGCCCCCGCACCAACACAAACACAAAAGGACCAGTTAGATTATGCTACAGTAGAACAGAGCACCAAACTGGGATCAGAAACACCCAGGCTCCACTCCCGCAAGTCCCTTAACCCCGCCGAGTCTCTTCACTGGGAAGAACACATTTATCTTGCCTTTCCTGTGTGATGCAAATGAATAATGTGTCTGGAAAGCAAGCTATGAGCTAGGAAGCGTTTGCAAATGTAAAGCTTTATGATTAAATTTCAAATAAGACTGGAAGACTAGAAGAAAATGTGTAAAAAAGCTGTGCATGCGCTGCTAATAATAATTTTAAAAATATTAATAAATAATATTAATAAAAACCAAAGATGACCGAACAACAAGTGATACTGCTTAAGGTCTGTCTTCCTTGCTAGGCATTGCAGTAAGCGCCTGGCGCACACTAACTCATTCGGTCCTCAGGACGGCCCTGAGAAATGTACCTTGTGGCTAGTATTGAAATTCCCGTCTGTAAGGTGAGAGAGCACACTCAGACGCATTACGTAACTTGCCCAAAGCCACTGTGCCTCTCAGGGCACCAACTCCTGAATGTTGACATCAACTCCTTACCCAGAACATCACAAGTTAGATTAACGGGAGGGGCTGGGCTGCTCGGAACTAAGTCAAAGTGGAGCTATTCTCTCAGACAGAAGGTGCAACTCCCTCCTCTGCTGTTATCGAAAAGTACAGGCCACGGTGGTGTTGTAAGTCACTGAAATGACCCGCTGATAATGAGCCATTTGTTTGGTAATTACTAGGTTATTTTTGAAGTTTCGAGTAGTTTCTAGTAAATTTCTAAAGGTGTAAACAATCTTCAGAAAGAGAGAGAAAGGTGAGACCTTGCAGACCTCAGGTCAGAACATCCTGCATATTCCAAGTCTCCCCGCCCAACCCAGTCATAATCCTTCTGGATAAAAGTCTCTCCTCAACAAACAAAAAGCGAGAAATAATCTGTGCAAATGTGGTATTTCTACAGAATATTTTCTAACGTCTTAAGTAATTATTAGTACCTTTTCTTACCGATAAGGAACTTATTTTAAATTACATATTTTATAGATTTTGTTCTGATAATCCTCTACGGAAAAACTGGTCTCTTGAACTTCAAAAAGGAAAAAAAAAGTCATATTGGAGGGATTCGATCCCAAAAAGGAGAACGAACAAAACCAGAAACCCAGAAGGAAGAACCTCTAAAACGACGAACCTGTATCACGTGGTCTTCGCTTGTGATTTCAACTGCTTCTTGGCTTTTCTCTAACGCAGCGAATATTGAGTTACAAGTCCTTTATGGGTAGGAGAAAAGGACTGATTAATGTAAATGCTACAAAATCTCATACGCTCTCGGGCATTACATTAACTTATGTACATGCTTTTTGTCTGATTATAAAGGTAACTGATGCTACTTCAAAAAAAATAAGGGAAGAAACAGTAAACAGCATAAAGAAGAGATAAACACTACTACTTGAGATCATGACCATGAGCAATTCGGTCCAGTCTGAGGACCAGTGGACCGGCATGGCACACATGCCAGGGTTCAAATCACAACCCTTCACTGGCTGTGAGACCCTGGGCAGGTGATGTGAGCCTCCCTTCTCCCCAGCTGGAATCCTCGGGAGGACTCCATTATAGAATACAAAGCCTGGCAGAAAGGAGGCAGTCAGGCATCTGTAGCTATTAGCTTAGATAAACTCTTGTCACAAAGTCGGGATCATCACAACCCAACTTTGTCCCCTGCTTTCTTCATTCAGCCTTGCATCATGGGCACTCTCCCATGTCCTTAGCATTCGAAAACACTTTTCAATTACACAAGTAACAAAGGCTTATTGAAAAAAGTTAGAAAATATAGATAAAAATAAATGAGATACCTCAGCATACCAGCAGGACAGCTATAACCAAAAAGACAGTTAACGCGTGTTGGTGAGGAATTCTCCTGCATGGCTGGTAGGAATGCAAAATGGTGCAGTCCCCTTGGAAAACCATCTGGCAGGTCCTCAAACTGTTAAACACAGTTACCATGCGACCCAAACTTTACTCCTAGGTATATACTCAAAGGAAATGAAAATGTATGTCCACTCCAAAACTTATAGCCCAAAGTGGAAACCACCCCAAATGTCCATCGATGGGCAAACAAATGAATAAAATGTAGTATAGCCATATAATGGAATATTATGCAGACATAAAAAGAAATTAAGTCCCGATACATATGGATGAACTTTGAAAGCTCATGCTAAGGCAAAGAAGCCACTCGCAAAGGACCACATATTGTATGATTCTATTTATGTGAAACGATGAGAATGATGAAAATATTCTAAAATTGTGGCAACAGTTCCTCAATTCTGTCATTGCACTCAATGCCATTGAACTGTGCCCTTGAAACAAGTGAACTGTACAGAATGTGAAAGATATCCCGATAAAACCGTTTAAAAACATATGAGGTCAGATCGTTGGAAATTCCAATATTTAGACATATTGATTGGTGTTCTAGGGAATTTCCTGTGTAGATATTTATGTAATATATATATTTATAAAAATAGAATCTTACTCTACAGTTGTATAATCTGCTTGTCTTACTGAACAATATACATCAATATCTTTCTATAGTGACAATTACAGTTCTTAATCATCACTTTTAATAACTATATAACATTCTGTTATAACACTGTACCATAATTTATTCAACGAATCCCCCACGACTGGACATTTAGGTTACTTCCAGTTTTTTTCTTCTACGTGTCTCAGAAGACGAAAAAAAGCAACTGCCTACTTGTCCATAAAGTGCAGAGATGATATTTAAAAAATTAACAATCAAAGTGCTTTTTCACATTATTCCTGGTATTACTAAACTGTCCCAACTAAATAAGACAAGTATCTTGGCTAGTAAAAATCAGCCCTTATTTCTTGGCATATAAAAATCAAGAGATGATATGTTAATTATGCCTCAATAAAGCTAGTCTTTAAAAAAAATGAGACGTTCCCACCTCTGATTATAAAAAGTTTAGAAGAGATAGATCTGTGAGAAGCCCTACTCGCTTTATCATTCTGTTATCATTTTTGCAGATCTGGTAAATAAAAAATGGTATATCGTTTTCATTTCTTTGATTACTGGTGAAGCTGGACATATCTCCACATTCACTGGCTATTTGTCATCTCCTATGAACTGCTCGATCCTGTCCTTTTTTATTTTTTTCTGCCGGATGTCTCCACTCTCCAACTGATTCACCAAAGCTCCTGACATATTTAGGATAGTCACTGGTCTGCCCTATATGTTACAAATATGTTTCCTAGTTCAGTTGTCTAAATTTTTAACATTATTTACATTTTTTTAAACTGTAGAAAAACTTTAACATTTTTACGTTGTCTAATTTGATTCTCTTCCTTTATGGAATCTGGGTTTTATGTCAGGCTGAGTTTAAAAAGAATGCATCATCAGATTACATATGCTCCCTTATATTTTTAGTACCTATGTGGCCTTACTTTCTAACAATAAGTCTTTAACTCACTGAGTTTATCTGGGGGTTGTGTGTGAGATTGAGCTATAACTTAATTTTCCTTCCAAATAGTTAACCAGTTGTCACAGTTCTATTCATTGAAGAGTCTGCCCTTTCTTGTGGTGATTTAAATTGACATATTAATCATATGCTAAATTCTTAAATATACTTGGCTATTTCTAGATTTTACATTCTAGTTTACTGATCTAGCTGTAACACAAAGTTGCTTGTCATAGCTTTTTAGTGCATTTTAATATCTGGCAGAACAAGTCTTTCTCCCATTTCTCAAGCCCGCAGTACCCCCTTTCCTTCGTATTTTCCCAGCTCCCTTTAAAATGGACATCTCCCTTTGGCTGTCGGCCGGTACACAGAGAACGAAGCAGGGCATGTTGATGGATGAGGACAGAGGGATAAGCGGCAGTGGACAGACCAGCGAGAGCCATGCAGGCCACATTTTAGAGTTTGGATCTTATTTCGAAGGCAGTGGAGTGGGGGGTCACGGGGGGGCGGGTAGCTGCAGAACAGAAACACAAATGGAGTTACGGGTTACTGAGGTATGGAGAATGGACACAGAGGAGTCGAGAGGAGATGTAGGGACTGACGGTTTCATAGTCCAGGTACTAGAAGACAGCAGCCTAAAGAGGAAGATGAGTGGACACACTCCACAGACTCTAGGAGGCAAGACCAACAAGACTTGTGAGGGATCGGAGCCAGGGAGGCATGAAGGAGACACAGGGGTTCAGTCTAGGCTCTCAGGGTAGGTGATGCTCAGAGTTCACTAAACTAAGGCATTCAGGAAGACAAGGTCGGAAGTTAGTAAATTTAGGGATGGAGGGGGAACAACGGTTACAGTTTTGAAAATGTGGGTTACACCCTAAAGGACGACCTTTGCCGTTTGCTACTTATAAGACCTTCGCTGTAAGCTGGTTAACTGACCCGGGCTCAGTTTCCGCATCCTGACTGGACAGAACCAGCTCTACCATCACCCCCTGCTCCACAGCTCCACTCCACTCCCAGGGCGGGGCGGCCTAATCCCCTGTGCCAGCGCTGCACCAGGCCAGTGGGCCTGGAGTGAGGAACGAGGCAGGCCCAGGGACAAGCGTCCACCTCACAGTTCCGTGCAAACTTGGGCGATGAAGAGGAGCACTTCTGAAAGCCTCGGCGCCTTGAGCCATGCCTGCTCAGCACTCGCCTGTCACCTTCCACTGCACCTCAGCGCGACTGTGAGAAGTGTCTTCCCTGCACGGGGAGCCCTGGGCCGGCCCTCGCTAGTCTAATACTCCAGGTTTGACTCCTCTCTCTGCCTTGGGCTTATGCAAACGCAATAATTTCATCCTCTCTCTGACTCTAGGAAAGGAAATGTGAGAGAACAGAGACCACCCAAGGAAGAAGCCTAGGGTGACAGAGAGTGGCTGACTTCTTTTTTCTTCTGCCAGTCTCACATAATTTTACTAATTTCTCTACTTTTCTTGCTCAACAAGGAACTAGGTTTCCATTTATATCACTTTAAAAAAAAAAAAAAAACCCTGTTTATTAAGACCAAATGATAAAGTGCTTATCATAAAAAAAAAAAAAACCTGTTTATTAAGACCAAATGATAAAGTGCTTATCGTAGAGAAAAAAATATGTCACCTACCAGAGATAACCAATGTTAATAGGTTGGGGGGGGTGTGTGTGTGTGTAAAACAAACGTTTTTTTTCCTTAAGAAACAAAACAGATAATTCAGTATGTGACTTTTGTACCCTGCTCTCTCATTTCCTATTATTTTTGAACCCCATCTTCAAATTTGAATCTCCAGTTACGAACTTGACCATCTACCCGTTAGGCACCCAGGCAGACTCCAAAAGTCCACATGAGGAGAGGAGCCACCAACCACCCCATCCCGTTTTAGCAGGAGGTCAGTTACCTCCAAAAGGTAGCCATCCACGCCCACTGCCCCGTGTGGGTGGGGGCTTTCCAGAGGAGGCAGAATTACCTGAGTTTCAGCTGCGATCGCACCTCTCCAAACTCCAGCTGGAGCAGCTCGTTGTAACAGGCCATGAGGCTGGGGTTCTCCACATACCTCTACAAACAGAAAGGGGTCTGTGGATAAATAACTGTGCACCTTTAAATTATCACATCCAGCAATAAAATAATTCTTTTCGACAGACTTCTCGATTTGGTAACTGAAATCGAAAAAAATACTTTTAACTTTAATGATGAATGAGAAAGAAGGGTGGATATTTATGGGTACCAAATTAGCTTTTAAAAAAATAGGGCTTAAGAATGCTTTTCTTTCAGGGCCTTAAGGTAAGAGGATTTGGTTGGCTGCATGTCACTCGCGGAGGCTAGAATCTGGAGAAAGACCAAATTTACTAACTAGAGTCCTGTTGACATTAACTTTCAGAGCACATTCACTTATTCAAGAGCCATCAGTTGTTCTCTTTAAAGTTTTACAAGCTCACAGTAAGCAAAAACACGCCTGCATTTCTCTTTGCGCCTGGATTTCACAGATAACCCCTGCTCAGGTAACATTTTCCCACACTAACCTCTCACTACAGCTCAACTAAACCAAAAGGTTACCCTCCAGGGCAGAAGGGCACTCTCTGCCCACTCCCCGCCACGTGGGGCCAGACGAGGCCATGACATTGATTTTATCGCCGCCTCCTCCAGCAGGCCGTGAAGACGCCTAGGGCTGGCTAAGACAGTCTAGAACTTAAATACTGAGCTATTATTAAAATTTCTCTTTTGGTATGTCACTTCTATTAGAAGATATGCCGAATATATTTCAGTCTATGTTGATTCATTTAGGCCTAATATTTATACATAGATAGATAAAAACATTTTATTTACCTGTCACATTATATAATTATATATATAACACATCTACACCTGTGTATGTACGTACATAGAGAAAAAAGGCGATCGCATGCATGTGGCAGGTTCATGCTCACCATCTGTCCTCACCACCTCGTCCTCCCTCATCTTAAAGTTCCTGCTGTAGCCCACTTGTTGTATGGCTGGAGTCCTCTCTCAGTTATTCTCCTCAGACCAGCCTCCGCGGGAAAAAGATCTCTGAATTTTACATATATCCCCAAAGGAAGCTCTTTTGCCCTGGCAGGCGAACGATAACCTGGCTGGGGGAGGGTTCCCAGGTCACGGTGCTTTTCTCGCTGCCACCTCTAGAACTGTTCTGGCTGTTCTGCGCAGCGACTGTGCGTCTATATTTACCCCCGTCTTTGCCATTTCCTTGCTCGCCATTCCTTCTTGCATTTCAGGCCTTCCACCTGGGATTCCCCTTCTCTGTCTGAGGTGCCTCGCTCAGAAAGTCCTTTGAGGATCTGTCAGTTACAAACTCTCTCAGTTTTCCTATTTCCAGAAGTCTTTATTTCATCCTCATTTCTGAAAGATATTTATGCTGGCATAACATTCTAGGTTGGCGGTTATTTTATCACATTGAAAATATTATTCCACTGTTTTCTATTTTCTGTTCATCGCTGCGGAGAAGCTAGCTTTTAATCTGTCACTCTTTTGAAGGTAATCTTTTTCTCTGGCTGATGTGAGGATCCTCTCTCTGTTTTTCTTTTGCTATGATGTGTTATGTTTTCATTGAATCAACTTTGAATTTGTTGGGATTTTTGAGTCTGTGGACTAGTCTTTCATCAGTTCTGGAAATTGCTCTTCAAATATCACCTCTGCCAGTTCCCTCCCCTGTCCTTCTGGAACTCCAGTTAGACATATGCTAAGCCTCCACACGCTAGCTCCACATTTCTTAGCTTCTCTAAGCTATTTTCTAGCATCATATCCCTGTGCTACATACTGGATAGTTTCTTTTGACCTATTAAGTTTTAAAACTTTTGTTTATTATGAGTTTATTTCTCAAGATTCAATTATGTTCTGCTTAAAATCTGCTGTCACTTTTTATCACTTCCTATTCCTTGCATATATTTCCAAGCTTGTCTTTTATTTCTTTCTGTATAACAAGCATAACCGCTTTAAATGCACGTCTGATGACTGTAGTACGAAGAGCAGGAGGGTCTGCTTCTGCCGTCTCCCCACTAGCCCTCACTTGCGACGCCTTGTTTCCCATGGACCGGTTAGCTGTGACTGAGTGCTCCCTGCTGCCCAGGGACAATTATTCGTGTTGATTCCCTGAGGCTGGAGATAAAAGGTCTTCCCCTGGAGAGGACCTGTACTGGCTCCCCTGGGTACCTGGGAGCCCTACCGCCCAGAACCCTTGAAACTAAATTCACGGCTTGAGGTTTCTTAACCACCTCACTGATAAGAATTGGAACTACGAATCAACCTAAGGGCCAGCCGTACATAGGTTCCCTCCATCATGATTCCCAAGGCTCACTGGCGACCAGCTGACCAAAGCCTTCAGCCTTTTGGCTCAGGAGAGACCAAGGGACTGGAGCTGGAGCTGAAGAGAAAGGAGCCATGTTTGGGTTATCTTATTTCCAGAATCCTTGAGCTGGTTTTAAGGTTGTAGGTATACAAGGAGGCATTATAACAACACATTCTGTCATATAACTTTTAATGAGTGTGCCCTTAAAGGAGATTGTATTATGTTTGGATGACTTTAGCAGGTTTTGAGAGACTAAGAAAGCGAGGTGTTGTAGATTATTAGATTACCAGATTATGAAGTTAAACCAAAATGTAATAACACGGCGCAAGAACAAATTTTTTTCTTCAAATTAATTCAGAACCTTTGCTGGTTCTGCACTGAAATAAAATTCTTTCTCATGCTGAATTATACGTGTATAACAAAGAAATGGTACATACTCTTGTGAAGCCAGCAGCAATGAGGGGCATTACAGATGACTCTTCTCTATCTGGCCTTCAAACGAACATAGTAAATGGTTAAAGTTTTTATCGATTATATCTCACCTCTTTATTCCCTGATTTACGTTAATACTATATGACTGTCCTATAATGAGTTCTTTTCATTGAATTAGGGTAATATACAAATCAAAGCATAAAGTTAAAAACAGTTTCTATTTAGTTTCATATGTAGCTTTTTGGCAGCATATATTAATACCTGAAATACAGAGGTTAAACTAACAGCCAGAATACAGGAGTAACCATACTATCTATTTGACACGTAAACATTTTAATTTAAGCTAAATTCTTTCCTATTTTCTTCTATTGCCAGTTTATTTAAAAAAAAAATTCTAGTGGGAATGTAACACAGGTAAAGAGGATCAATACTATGGTGATAGAGGGAAACGAGTTTGGTAGTGAGCATGACACAGATGTCCAATCATAATGTTGCACACCCCAAACTTACACAATGCTATAAACCACTGTTACTTCAATAAAAACAAATAAGTAATTCTTAAAAACTCCTTTTCCCTCCAAAGCTCAGAAAAATAGTTTAAAAGAGAAACATTTCTTCTATCTATAAAAATATATAAGCTAAATAACATTTGCTTGAATATTGCCCTTCTCGCATTATTTTATCCCTTCCTTACTTTCAATTTAAGGATAAAATATAAGATTTCCTCCATTTATGTGTAATTCAGATCTTCGTAGGTATTTGGGGTTAAAAGGCCCTAGGAAGATACCCCTGGAAAACATTCATGTTTTCCGGAATGGAATGCTCTAGTGGTGTGCCTGTTTCTAAATGAAAGACAGTCCAAAATCGCAAGCCCAGACATGAGAGTACAAAGTCCTGCCGTGAAGTTACCTGGCGAGGCAAAAGAAAATAAGAAAGAATAAAGACAACAAGGCCAGACTAAAAAAGGCTGTGTCGTCACAGCCCATGACTCTGTTAAGAGCAAGCATCACATTGACATCTGAATTTCTCAAAAAAAACAAAAAAACAAAAAAAAGAAAAACAAAACAAAACAAAAAAAAGCTTACCTGCGTACTACACCAATAATAACTGTGTTTTCTGAAAATTTTGATGATCGAATAGACCTATTAAAAAAACCAAATTTTAAAATAAATTAAAAACAATTCTTTAAAAAATACATACACTTAGGTAATTTTGCTAGAGCAATGAAAGTTGGCGGGGCGGCAGAATGGAGAGCAAAAGGTCCTTCATGCTCTGGATTCACCTTCTCGGCTGCTTGAACTTTCTCTCTTTTGGGGACAAACTCCTCATCAGTGGACCGTGGCGACCCTATCAGTACGCAGGGCGACTAACCGCTGACTAAGGTGATGCTCCTTCCGCTTGTTCTGGTCTTTGTTAGCCTCGTTGTTGCAGGGGGACAATTCTTCCTCCCTTGGGCTTAACATGAGAACAGTCGCTTGTCTCTCCCGACCAAAGGGGATGCACGCCTGTGTGTACTGGGACAATGATGGCCTTGATGCCAGGGGGAGGAAGAACCCAAGGTCACCTCTCCACTGTATTCTAAGCAGTACTAGCAAAGAAGAGTCCCTAGGTAGAAGGTAGGCAAAAAGGAACAATCAAAATTCAAAACTAGAAAAGTGCACGGTATTTCAGTCCAAAAGAAGGGAATCAACACCTGACAGAGAGAATCAGGGCTCCCCAGACAGGGAGTTCAACTCTCCGGAGAAGCAGCTCCCAGGGGAGCCTGGGGAACGGAAACCCCGATAAGAGAAGAGAGAGGGCAGAAGTGACCGTGACACAGAGGAGCAGGAGAAGGAAAAGGAACGCTGCGCTGGGGACTGCAACGGCTCTGAAATCATTTCAGGCTGTGGGAAGAAGGCGGGACTCTCGGGAGGAGACCAGGCCACAGGACGGGGAGGAGCTCAGCCCCTGGACCGAAGGGATGATGACTCCCTGGGAGGGGACTCCAGAAGGAGGGGAACAGAGGGGACCACACCCGGACCACCCAGCCAAGTCAGAGGTGTGCTAGCTGCTGGACAACATGTCCAGGATGGGACAGAGGAGAGCGGACACCTACTGCCTTGCTTCAGTTCTGTTAGTTCCAGAACAGGAATCACTTCTGAACCACAGGACACAGAAAACAATTCGAGTGGCTATTTCTCAATTCCCCCAAAGATGGTAAACAACACAGCCAAGAGAGAAATTCATCATATACAGGGGAGGCTCGGCTTTGGCAAACTTTTCCTGTCAAGGACCATACAGTACACAGTTGAGGCTGCTCAGGCCCGACAGACTCCGCCGCCACAACTCCGACCTGCCACTGCAGCGCGCACACACCTGAACGGGTGAGGCCGTGTTCCCCTCTGCCCGCCTCGCCTGAGGATGCTGGGCCTTGATTTTCCCAGGGAACTCGGGCTGAGAAAGGCCTAGAGTCTAGAGATAGCTGCACACTAGGTCTGGGCCGGGGAAGCTGCTCTAGGGACCGAGAAGCCGCTCTAGGGACCAGGCAGTCTCTCTCGTGGGTCCCGGGGCTCACGCCCCACCCGCGACATTTCTGCTTTCCCCAGCGTCCGCTCCACTCCTCCAGTGTCCGTCGGCCTCTGCTCTCCAGAGGACGCCAACCTAAAGGGCACTGTGTGGAAGAGCCCTCCCACAGGTCGCCACACGGCTCACCGACCGGGTGCCAATCCCCGGCCCCACCAGGTCTCCCTGACTGGAAAAGGGGCCATGGGAAGGGATGTTTCAGTTTTGGTGGGTGACTGGCATGGCAGGCACTCACACAGACAAGGCCAGTTCACTTTTCAAACCTGCTGGCTAATAATTAGCCGAACACTAA